AAAGAATTCGAGACTCATTTCACGTCCCATTTGGGAAGTAGTTCTTGCTTGTGCTGATTGGTTCTTCCTCTCTTCTCAAATTGTCATGTACATGCTTGTCTAATTACAGTGTTAACAATAATAGCAGTTAGCAGTTAGTTGGCACTTTAAAATTTGCAGAGGAGTGCTTTATGTATTTTATCTCCTTTGATCTTCACAGCAGCCCTGGGAGGTAGGTGCTGTTACTGTCCCCATTTTACAGATGAGGAAACTGAAGTAGTAAATGTCTAAGGTAGGATTTGAACTCATGTCTTCCCGACTGTAAATCTGACACTCTATCCACTGTACCAAATAGCTGACTGATTTATTTACATGTTATATCCTTTCAGTAGAATATAAGCTACCTGAGGGAAGGGACTGTTTTTTTATTTTGTTTTGGTATCTCAGATATGGGCAGCGAGGTGGTGAAGTGGATAAAGCACTGGGCCTGGAGTCGGCAAGACTCATCTTCCTGAGTTCAAATCTGGCTTCAGACACTTGCTGAGTGACCCTGGGCGAGTCACCTAACTTTGTTTACCTCAGTTTCCCCATCTGTGAAATGAGCTGGAGAAGGAGATGGCAGACCACTCCCCTGTCTTTGCCAAGAAAACCCCAAGTGGAGTCATGGGGAGTCGTATGTGACTGAAATGACTGAACAAGAAAATCCTCAGGCGTTTAGTTATCAAGAGGCAAGGTGGTGTAATGGAGAAGCCTTGGAGCCAAATCCCACCTCTGACCCTCCTTGTGTGATCCCGGGCAAGTCTCTTAGCCTCAGTTTCCTTATCTGTAAAAGCAGGGGATGATACTAAATGGCATTTTGCATTCACTCATCTGTGTACATTTATTCATCAGTTGTATCCATTTCTAGAATGTGCTGTTTGAGGGCAGGGATTGTTTCCTTTTGTTTTTGTATCCCCACAACCTAGCATAGTGCCTTGTATGCCCAGCCCATGGGTACTTTTTAAAATAGTATTTTTTTTCCAATTACATGTAAAAGACAAATTTTGACATTCATTTAAGTATTTTTTTTGAATTCTGAATTTTCTCCCTTCTTCCCTTACCTCCCCCTCCCTAAGATAGTAAGCAATTTGATATAGGTTACATATGTGCAATCATGTAAAACATATTTCCATATTAATCACGTTGTAAAAGAGGAAACAGATCAAAAGTTTTAAAAACACACACAAAAAAAGTGAAAATAGTATGCTTCAATCTGCATTCAGACTCATTCCATCAGTTTTTTCTCTGGATGTGAATAGCATTTTTCTTCATGAGACCTTTGGAATTGTTTTGGATCACTGTATTATTGAGAATAGCTAAGCCATTCATAGTTGATCATTGTATAATGTTGCTGTCACTGTGTACAATGTTCTCCTGGTTCTGCTCATTTCACTTTGTATCAATTCATGTAAGTTTTTCCAGGTTTTTCTGAAATCCGCCTGCTTGTCATTTCTTATAGCACAGTAGTATTCCATTACATTCATGTGCCACAACTGGTTCAGCCATTCTGTAATTGATACAGCCCATAGGTACTTAACAGATGTGTTGAATTGAATTGAATTGTTAGATTGGATTGGATCATATTTTCCATCCATCCATGCTAAGCACTTGTTGGGAAACAATGATCTAAAAGGGGTAATGAGACTTCTCTGTTTCTGATCAGTGGTGATTCACCAGACTAGACATGTTTGCCCTTCTTCCAAAACGGTAATCAAGGAGATGACAGAAACAGCCTTTTAGAAGATACACCACGGGGTGTCCCACTAAACCAATACTCTGAGGCTAAGAAACTTGGGAATTTGGGTCTGCTTTTATCATTGACTTTGGTTGAGTCACTCAGATCAAGCATTTATTTGTTTTTTAAAACAACATTTACTTTTTTAAATATAATTTTAAATTATTTCACTAAATATTTCCCAATAACATTAAATATTTTTTAACATTCATTTTTTAAAATTTTTAAATTCTGTCCCTCCTCTCCCTTACCTTTCAAGAAAGTAAGCAATATGATATCAATTATGCAGGTGAAGTCACACAGAACATTTCCATATTAGCCATGTTGCAAAAGCAAACACACACACACAAACCAAGAAAAATACAGAAAATGAAAAAAAAGTATGGTTCATTATGCACTCAAAATTCATCAGTTCTATCTGGAGGTGAATCCCATTTTTCATCATGAGTCCTTTGGAACTGTCAACAAGCATTTATTAAGAAACTTCTATGTGCCAGGCACTGTGCTAAGTGTTGGGGATACAAATAAAGGCAAAAGACAGTGCCTGCCCTCAAGGAGCTCACAGTCCAGTGAGGAGGCAACATGCAAACCGCTATGTACCAATGAAATAGGATAATCTGGAGATGGCCAACGGAAGGAAGGCACTGTCATTAAGGGAGATCAGGAAAGGCTTCTTTTAGGATTTTAGCTGGGGCTCGAAGGAAGCTAGGAGGTGGAGATTAAAGGAAGTTACAGGTTGGAGGACGATGGGTGACAGTACCCAGAGTCAGGGGATGGACGACAAAGAGGAGGCCAATCTCAGTGGCTGCTCATGGGTGTCACCTTTTTCACAAGGCGCAATGAAGATTGTATAGTATAGAAAGTGGGTTGGATTATTAGAAGCCACCCTATCAATAAATCTCTAAAGCACTTTGAGCTCCCTAGAGCTGGGTTTAGAGTACATAAACATGAGGTGATCTTTTCACAAACTCCATAGTGATTGTGCCTTGGCAGAGCTCAGAAGAATGACTTTGGTTTAAAATATTGAGTTATTCTCATGTTGCTATGTAATTTCCTACCTCCAAACTTGGCTAAATAGTAGTATTATTCCCACTTTATAGATGAAGTCCATAATAACCCAAGGTCTATACAGAGTGATTACCATGGTTCAGAGAATTCACCTTGAATGCTTACCAGTTGATGATAGTGGAGGAGACCCTGTAGAACTAGCCATTTTGTCACTGAGACAAGCTCTGGGAACCAGAACCAGTAGGCTCTGTGTATGTCTTGGGGAGGGGGAGGGGAGAGAAAAAAGTGTAACTCAAAATCTTGAAAACTATCCTCACTCCTTTGGGCCTCACCTTCCTCATCTGTAAAATGAGAGATTGGACAAGATGACCTCTCAGGTCCCTCCAGCTGGAGGTCTCCCATCCTATGAGCCTCAGAGGAATTAAGTAACTTACCCAGGATCTCCAAGATAGGAAGGGGTGTGGCTGAATTGCCCAAAATGGAATTTCTTTAAGCCCATTGATGAGAGCCCTCCTTCCCTGGTACAGACCACAGCCTGCCCTTGCCCCCTTGGTCTGCTTAACCTCCCCCCACCCCCACCCCCATCCCCCATGCCCTCCAATAAATCTTCCATCAGGGATTGTCCCAAAGGGCTGGGTTTTTTCTCCAGCTCTCTTGACCTAGTGTGACTATCATCAGAGCATGCAGGCTCCCCATCCCTTCTCCCACAATCTGACTACGTGGCCAGGCCATTTTCTTTTCCATTCACACTTCTTTCACGCCACTTACGTTCAGTTCTTTGCCCCTAATGTGTTCCAGCCCACTCATGTCCACCACAGGCATCTCCATCACCCTTTGGGTGTTCCTGCACTTTAATTCTTCAAAGACTGTGGCTTTCAGGGATGTAGGGCCATACAGCATTATTGGAAGAATACTTTTGTTTAAATTACAGGTCTTTATTTCAGAGTGCTGAATGGAATAATTATTTATTAAGTGGGAATAAAAAGAGAAAAAGCAACAGAGTTCCAGCTCTCACAGAGCTCCCATTCTAGTTGGGGGAGACCACACAAAGCCTGGTGGTCTATGGATAGTGGCAAGAGCCAAAGGTCCTTCAGGTCCAGCAGCAGGGTAGATGGCAACACTTTGAAGCCAGAAGGATTGTAGATGGTCACTTCCTGCCATGTAAATGGGCGTGTGGCAGTCACGATTCTCAGCAACCCGAGCTCGGAGGGGCCCCAGGAAGGAGAGATCCTGGGGGCCCCGACAGGTGGAAGTCAGGCTGGGGCCCATGGCGGAAGGCATCCTATGCCAGACTGGAAGTGTGGGGTCATCAGAAGCACCGCATGATTGCCAAGAGGTGATGCAAGACAGAAGGCTTGCCCACGTTATTCTTGTCCTTGGTTCAGACTTAGGATGTTCCCCCACACATTCTGGGTTTAACCTGGGAGTTCTTATCCATTATGCTTTGGGCAGTCTGATAAAGCCTACGGACCCTTCCTCAGAATATTTTCCAATGTGTCAAATAAAAGAGGCAGCTGGGTGTTTCAGTGGGTAGAACACTAGGCCCAGAGTCAGTAAGACCTGAGTTCAAATTTGACCTCAAACACGCATTAGCTGTATGACCCTGGGCAAGTCACTTGACCTTTGTTTGCCTTCCCACCCCTCCGGTCCTGGCACCTCCCTCCCCTTCTCCAGGTTTCTTCCCTCTCTGTCCCATCTCCTCCCTCCCCTCCCCTCCTGGCTCCTCCCTCACTCCCCTCCTGGCCCCTCCCTGTCTCCTCTTGGCTCCTCCCCTCCCTTCTTGGCTCCTCCCACCCGCCTGGCTCCTCCCATTTTCTCTCCACCTGCTTGCCCACCGGCGGAGGCCCCTCTAAATCTAAGGAGGGGGTTGCAGGCCGGAGGCGTGCAGCGGCGCACCGGCACCGGAAGCAGCTGGAGCGCCGGCGGGGTCGACCGGAAGTTCTCCTGGGAAGGGGCCGGTGGGTGTAGGAGGGTCTGGCGCGGGTCGCGGGTCGACCCAGCCCTGCCTGGCCTCGGCACTGAGGGGGATCTGGGGCGGAGGGACGAGTTGCCGTGATGGGGGTGAAAGAGAGCCCCGGCCCGGAGCGACTCCTGCATTCTTAGCTGGGCCTCAGTTTCCTCACCTGTAAAACGAGGGGGTTGGGCCCTCGTCGGGGGTGGGGGGAAGGGAGGAGGGACGACCCCTGTGACCTGCCGAGAATCCCGCGACCTCACGGGGCCTCAGCGTCCTCATCCGAAGAATGGGGCAGGCCTGGACCAGTCGCCTCCTCTCCCATTAGATCTCAAGCCCCTCGGGCCAGGCACTGGCGGCCGTAGTAGGCGCCTAATCAGTGCTTGTGGACTTGACCCCGAGGCCCCGTCCAGCTCTAAAGCTGTGCCTCGATGTCACCCAACCTTTAGTGTGCCTTTAGTAAAATGGGAATATTCATAACTAGACTCCAGTGAGATGTATGCAAACTTTGTAAACTTTAAATTGCTCTATAAACTGCTGCATTTGAGGGGAGGTGGGGGTCTGCACCCGTGATGTCATCCATTGGGGTGAGGGTCTCCTAGAATTAGAGTTGGGGCTTGTCCAAGTTACCCAGGTGGCAAGTGGTAGAGCCACGATTTGAACCCAGCACTATCGCTATGTCCCTGTACTGTGTTGCTTATAGTCTTTGAGAGTTGCCTGGGGCTGTGAGACATTAAGTGACTTGTCCTGAGTAATCCAGTGTATGTCAGAATCGGATCTCGGACCCAGGGCTTCTTGATTCTGAGGCCGTTCCCCCTCACCTGTGCCACATTGCCTTTCTGGCTATTTGCATTATTAATAATAACAGGAGTATTGATGATAATAGATGATAGATGAGTAGAAAACAGTGCCATTGCAGGGCCCATGCATTGATGGCTCTTGACCTCTGGGGTTTTTATATTTTAAGGCTATCAAAATTTTCACTGTCTTTCTCACGTCCTCTTCCTTCTGATTTTTCTTTGCAGCATGTCTGCCCTGGATGTTATAGACGAAAATTTGTATTTCCTGAAGCCACATGCCAGTTTATGTGATTGAAGCTGCTTTATAAAATAGTTGGTGAGTTACTGTATCTTATAGCATGGATTTACATTTAACATAAATCTAGGAATTTATAAAACTTGCTTTCTAATCTGCTGCTGCTCCTGAGGTGAAGTTTGGTGTGTTGGATATGGAACCTTCCCAGAAAGCACAAAGACCCAGATTGGAGCCTATGGTGCTGTGGAAAAGTCACTTAACCTCATCAATGCCCCTAGACAATTTCCTATAGAGACTATACGTTGCAGAACAGGTGTCAGTCAGTCTACTTTTGGTACTTCTCCCCACCAGTGGGAGCTCTGCTCTCCACCCTCACCCACTGTACCCAGCTAAACTATTGATTTTTCTTGAGAGAATTATTTGACCTATTTGTTTTCCCGTGTGCACAAGTGAGCTTGGACTCTAAGCTTGGGGGCTGATGAGGATTAGGTATGTTAGCATAATTTTAGTGGATACTGAGTTTAGAATTTGTCTCTTACTGGTATAAAGGAAAACACAGGATTTATGACTGATTGGTGAGGATGAATCAGATACAGGCAACTGTGCTTGAGTTGTTACAGCCAGTATCATTTCATGATAAAATGGTTAGAATCTAATAACCGAAACTCAAGATGTGTTTTCACAGAACTGTTTCACTTTGTTACCTCATTAGGGGACATACACTTAAACTGTTACTTTGCTTCACACTTGATTTTTGTTCACTCTGAGGCTGTGTCTGTCCTCATTGTGCCTCTGATATTCACTAAATCAGTGACCTTGGGCAGGTCCTGAGCCTCTCTGTCCTCTAGAAAGTGAAGGGACGGGACAAGATGGCCTGAGGTCTCTTTCAGCATTAGATCTGTAATCTTATCGTCCTCTAGGAACGTTCTCTGTTTCTTCCCCCACACCATTATCGCAATTGAAATCCTTCCAAGGCTTAGTCCGAGAATTGCCTTTTCCATGAGGATTTCCTTGATTTCATTGTCCCTCCCTCTGTACAAATTGATCTCAGCTTCTAACAGCATTGTCCTTTGTGTTTATCCCCTGCTGCTTTGTGTCGTTGTTATTTTTGTATCCATTCTTCCTGCCTTCCCCATCAGTGTGGAAGTAAAGCCCCCTGAGAGCAGGAGCTGGGTCTTCATGGATCCTACCACCTAGCACCAGGCCTCGCCTAGTGGGTCGTGAGCAGAGGCTGGAAGAATTGAACTGAGTTGGTCTAACTGAAAGAATCTGTTTTGTTTGCCTCAGGGAGAAAACAAACGGAAACCGACAACGACAAAGAGCAGGAAGTGCTTTTGTGACCATGGATGACAAGAGACGAAGAGTCCGTGTGCAGGGTGGCTGGGCAGGCCATGCCAAGAGTCAGGCTGCTGCGAAGCCAGGCAAGGCAGTGGGGGCTCCTGAGGTTTGTCCTGTGATGGTGGAGTCTTTCTTAAGTAATGGTGTCGTGTACAGGGCACTTGATGTAAGGCAGGGGAGGGGCCAACAGTCTACATTTCCCCTTACTGCCCTGAAACATCCCAGCTTACACACACACACACACACACACACACACACACACACACACGACGTCCTCTCTGGGCCCCAAAATGCTTAGGTGACAGGGAGGCCCAGTGCCACTGACAGGGCTCTTGAGGCTTGCTAAGTCAAATGTGAGGAGCCAGCTTGCTCCCTCTGCTCAGCTGTTTGGTGGTGCCCTCAGTCTGACTTTATTCTTTCCTTTGCTTTAGCTCTCAGTGCCAAAGGCCATGCCCCCCAAGGTCTTGCACAGACCTGGATGAAAAGGGAGTCACTTCCACCTGAAAGACAGTTTGTATATAAAGAACCAAAGGCAGAGGTAAGTACTCCTTCAGGCTCTGCTAACAGAATCAAAGAAATTTTTAAAATGCATTTACTATTAAGGAAAAGAACTAGTTAGCAATCAACAGGCATTTATTAAGTGCTTAATAGGTACCAGACAGTCACTACACTAGGCTCTGGAGATACAGAGACAAAGAGGAAACAGTCCATACTCCCAAGGAGCTTCCATTCTGGGGGGAAGAGAGACACCATGTACGTCCAGACATATGCACAGTATCACCCAGGAGGTACAAGGTGGTTTGTGGCAGGGGTGGGGAGAGTGCCCACAGCAGGGAGGGTCAGGAAGGGCTTTCTCTGGAAGGTGGTGTCTGTGCTCAGTGTTAAAGGAAAACTGTGGATTCTGAGAGAGGGAGTGCATTGGAGGCTCGAAGAATCAGGTCTGCAAAGGAATGGAGATGGGCAGTGAAGTGCTCTGTATGAGGGAGAGTCAGAGAAGGACATTGACTGAACCCTAAGGCTCAGAAGGGGAGGATGCATGACAGGCTGGAGAGCTAGGATGGGCTTAGGTGGTGAAGGGCTTTAAATGCCACTGGAGGAGTTGGTGTTTGCTTGTGGAGTGAGTGGAAAGAAGCTGCTGGACTTGATTGACTAGGGGAGTGACATGGTCAGACCCGAGCTTTAGGAAGATCTCTGGCCAATATCTGGCTAGGTGTGGCCTGGAGAGAGTCTTGAGGTAGGGGGACTGAGGAGGAGGCTATTAAAATAGTCCAGGCCAGAGGTGAAGCCTGTGGCTGGACAGAAGGCAAGGTTAGACATGGTGAGGAGGAAGTGACAAGATTTGGTAGGTGATGGGCTGTGTGAGTAATGCTACAAAAATAGGTAGCTTGAAACTACTCCTAAGTAGTTCACGGTGCTTTGTTCAGGCCTAAAATAAATAAAATTAATATAACATAATATAAATAAAATCTGGAGCAGACAAGTGTTGTTCCTTTTTTACCCATCAGATAACTAAGCCTAGGAAAGAAAGGTCCACGGGTCGTCCACAGCCTGGTTTTGCTCTGAAGGTGAAGATAGAGCACCAGTATCCTGAGGTTCCAGGCATCAGGCCACTAACATTCCTCCCAGCAGCACTGGATGATCGACTTGATAATGTATTTCATTAACACCTTACTTTCATGTTATGTAAATAACTTTTTTCTCCCCTCACTGGCAGAAGTGGTCTTCCTGGTTGACAGGATTAACTCTCTTGCTTTTGCCCGTCCTTCCCCTGTGAAGATTTTTGGGGGATGGCAGAGGCTAGGGCATGTTTAAAGGCAGTAAGGAAGGAGATCATAGCTAGAACCTGTTGAAGATTAGAGAGAAGTGAGGAATGGTGTTGGAGAAGATGGGTGGGGGTGGGATCAGGGTACAGGAGAAGGACCTTAGCAAGGAGGAGCATCACCTCATCAGAGATTGGAGTCAAGAAGGAGAGGCTGGGGGATGGTTGCAAGGACTGTGAGATGAAGAGAGGGTGAATGGCCTCAGTTTTCTTAGTAAAGGAAGAAAAGAAGTCCTCAGCTGAGGGGGGGTGGGGGACATGGGGAAGCATCGGAGGCTTAGAGAGAGAAGGTGCTTAGTCCTCACTTGGCCAGGTAACCTTAACCTAGAGATCTGATCCTGCCTCTTTCCCTGGTTACATGTCTTCTGTGGATCCCCATTTCCTGTAGAATGAGTCTGTAAATTCCTTTTCCAGGCACTTAAGACCCACACTCTAGGTCTACCTTACCATTCCAGCCTTATTTTGTACAGCTCTCTTACACATACTCTGCATTCTAGCCACACTGGGCTCTGGGGCCCTTTCTCTGAGTGTGTCCTTTCCCCTCCCACTGTGGTGCCTTTGCAGGGAGGAGGCTGCACCTAAGCTGGTCCTGGAATAGTAAAAGAGAAGAGGCATCTTAGCAGTATATCAAGTGTGTTGGCTAGTTTGAGAAAAGGTTTAGAGCCCCAGATGTTTGGCATGAGGATTGAGCAGCTGTATGAGGAAAGTATGTTGGATTTAGAGTCAGAGGACAGACCTGGGTTCAGATCCCAGCTTTGCTGCTTACTGCTCTTCTGACTGAGCCAGTCACTTACCTGGGGTTGTTCTCAAAGAGGACCATGACATCAGGAAGGTGATGTTTTGATTTGCAAGTGAATTGGATTTAAGTGAGACAGGGCTGTGCAGAGTCACCAGTCATTGGAGCCCAGTGGCAAGATATAGATCAGGATGACTGGAGGGGACCGGATGCAGTAGGAGACCTTGACCTTTTAAAGCTAAGGTCTTTCCCAGGTCTCAGTTTGACTGAGACAATGCCCAGTCAGTGATTAAGGCTAAGTAGGAAATGAAGCAAAAAATGGCTTCTTTAATCTACTAAAAAAAAAATCAGTCTTGGAGTGGAAGACCCTTAGGATTTCTGGCCAGAACAGGAACAGTTGCTGTTTACACTTGCTCTGAGCCATCAAAATCCAAACAGTAACCCAGGGTTGGACCATGGAGCTATCTCGAAGGGCCTTTCTTTGCCATCCAGCGATCTGTGCTCCTTGCCTGTGATGGAGGGAGTCCCCTGACACCTTGACACCTATGTCTATAGACATCTTTTTTCCCTCAAGGTCTTTCTCAGCAGCCCCCTCCTTCATAAAACCCCTTCTGCTCAAAGTGACTCCTCCCTCCCTTCCCAGTCTCTCCTGCTTCATTTCCTTCTGGGTCCTCAGCTGATTGTTATTTGTCCTTGTGCTTTATTCCCCTCCTGAAAAATAGCCTCCTTCGGGATAGGCCCTCTGTTTTTCGTCTTTGTTTTTCCAGCATCTGGCACAGAACTTTGCACATAATGGGCCTTTAATAAGCATTTGTTGACTTCATTGTTGAATGTTTTCCCTACTGAGCAGGGTTCAAGTTCAGCAGAGACTACTGGTGGTTCTCCATTGTATCAAAAAATTGAAATCCACAAGTAATAGAGAAGTTCCAATTTATAATAGTTTTTGGTTTCAACCTCTTTGCCATAGTCCTTTAACAGAGATGCTTGCTAACTAGCCAGAGCATTAATTGGAGGCATATTGCCTTTCTCTTCAGCCTCCGCTAGTCCCTTTGCACAAATACACCTGCCAAGAAAGGTGCTAGCATGCATAAGTACCTGTAAGAACAAGGCCAAGGGGACTCTGGCAAAATGAGTGTTCAAATCGAAAGGGGTGGTTTTAATTTTTATTCATTTTTTGGAATGAAATAGTTTTCAGTTAACAAGCATTTATTTTCTCCCCACCCTTGGAGGGAAAGAAAACCAAAGCAAACCCTTATAAATTCAAGCAAAACAAATTCCCAATGAAAGAAATGATTATTAATAACCAATAATCTGGGGAGGTCCAGAGTTCTGATTTTAAAGTCCTGATTTTAAAAAAGTAAAAAGTTCAGTCTTTTGAAGGACATTGCTGATAATGAGATCGAATTAACTCTCCTCATTCTTGGTCAGACTCCACTGAACCTCACAAGGAATTTCATCGAAGGTGGGGAAGCCCATGGTGTTCTACTCAAGTTTGGGTAGAGACAGATCCTTTTGTCTGGATAGCTCAAGGCTGGTGGTGGTCTGAGTGCAGAGATAGTTTTTCTGTCCAAGGTGACATGATATATCACTCTCAGCCCCTCATTGAACACCTGCTCTTCAAAGGGTATATATATATAAACTGTGAGCCACCATCATGATTGCCTTTCGTCTAAGACAGCTGGCCAAATGACCATCCTTTTATTAATAACATGCTGGCCTTACTAATAAAGTGAATAAATTACCCAGAAACTACGTCTCTCAAACCTTTTTAATCATCACACCATACTGACGACGTCAAAAAATGCAGCTCATTCCTCATATTTGGTTGTCCATCACCTTGGAAAGGAGGTGGGAGGGGCAGCTAGGTGGCGCAGTGGATAGAGCACCGGCCCAGAAGACAGGAGGACCTGAGTTCAAATCCGGCCTCAGACACATAACACTTACTAGCTGTGTGACCCTGGGCAAGTCACTTAACCCCATTGCCTAGCGCCCCCTCCCCCCCAAAAAAAGAAAGGAGGTGGGTTGTGTTCTTTGTCATTGGTCTTCCGGAATCATGTGCTGATCGGAGTTCTAAAGTCTTTTGTTCTTGTTCCTTTTTATGGTGTTGTTAGTGTATAGATTATTTTGCTGGTTCTGCTCCCATCGCTCCTATGTAGAAGTCTTCCCAGTTTGCTCTGAAACTCTCCTTTTGTCATTTTTTATGATCAGTAATAGTCTATTACATTCATGTGCCATAATTTGTTTATCCATTCCCTGATAGGTGGGGGCCCCTTTAGTTTCCAGCTTATTGATACTATGAAGAAGCTGCTATGAATCTTTATGTACATATGAGTCCTTTACTTCTTTCTTTGACCTCTTTGGGATAGAGGCCTAGTAGTGGTATTGATAGGTCAAAAGGATATGCATAGTTAAGTGACTTTTTGGTAATAATTCCAAGTGACTTTCCAGAATAGCTAGAACAGTTCACAATTCCACTAACAGCTTCTGTTTTCCTCTGTCTTTGCCAACATTTGTCATTTTTCTCTTTTGTCGTCTTTGTCAAATTTATAGTTACATTAATTTGCATTTCTCTAATTATTAGTAATTTGGAAGATTTTTTCACATAGCTATTGATGATTTGGATTTCTTTCCTTGAGAACTGCCTGTTCATGTCTTTTGATACGACATTGTGAAAGGAAAAATCCTTTGATTTATCAGTTGGGGAATGGGTCTTATACTCTTACGATTTATATATATTAGAAATGAGACCTGGTTCAAAGAAACTTGCTGAGGGACAGCTAGGTGGCGCAGTGGATAGAGCCCCAGCCTTGGAGTCAGGAGGACCTGAATTCAAATGTGGCCTCAGACGCTTGACACTTACTGGCTGTGTGACCCTGGACAGGTCACTTAACCCTGATTGCCTCACAAAAAAAAAAAAAGAAAGAAAGTAAAAAAGAAACTTGCTGCCAAGATTTGTTCCCATTTAACTGTTTCCTGCTAATCTTCAGCTGCATTGGATTTGCTTGTGCAAAAATTAAAAAAAATAAATTGCAATCAAAATTGTGATCCTCTGTCCCTTGTGTTCATGAACTCTTCTCTTCTCTGTGGATCTGAAAGGTATGTTCTTTCTTCCCCTTCTAATTTATGATGTGAACTTTTTTATCCAGATCATGTATTCATTTGGAACTTATCTTGGTTTATGGTTTGAGGTGTTGGTCTAAGCCTGATTTCAGCCACACTGCTGTCTGGTTTTCCAGCATCCATCTTTTTTTGTCAAATTCTGACAGAAGATGGGTGTTTGGGTTTGTTGAGCATGAGGCTTCTTGGTTTGTTTACTTATATGTGGTGGACCTCATCTCTTCTTTTTTTCAGCCTCTTTAATCTTTTAACCAGGTCCAGATTGTTTTGACAATTATTACTTTTAGTATAGTTTGGGAGCTGGTACTGCTGGGAAGGACTAGTTTTAAACTAAGAGCATTTCAGTAGGAATGAACAGGGTAAGCAAAGTGTTAAGTACTGAGGCAGCTAGGTGGCACTACAGTGCATAGGGCGCCGGGCCTGGAGTCAGAAAAACCTGAGTGCAAATTCACCTAACTTCTGTCTGCCTCAGTTTCCTCAACTGTAAAATGGGTACCCTGCTTCACAGGGTTGTTGTGTGAGGATCAAATGAGATAATATTTGCAAAAAGCACTTAGCACAGTGCCTGTCATATAATAATAATAACAACAGCAGCAATGATAGGAGCTTTGTATAGCACCTTCTATGGGTCAGGCACTTTGCTAATTACTTTTTACAAATATCTCACTGCTTTTATCCCCATTTTACAGATGAGGAAACTGAGGTTGACAGGTTAAATTACTTGCTCGGTGTCACATAGCTAGTAAGAGTGGATTTAAACTCAAGTGTTCCTGACTGCAGTCCAAGTGCTCTAGGAGGTGCAGTACAAATACTAATTCCTCCTTCCGCTTTCTCTGTGCAGAAATAGGAAAACCTCTGTGAATTCGGGATGTTAAGATGGTTTTCTGGTTCTTAAATCTACCATGCTTGTTTTCTGCAGGTTTTCCGTCGGATCCCAGACCCACAAATGATTGAGTGAGTACCATGCTGCCTGATAGAGCAGGCAATGAATCCCTGTAAATGCCCCCATTTAGAAATTGGTTTTCTATCTACTGCTGATGAGTCACAGAACCTTGGAGTAAAAAAGATTCTTAGAGGTCCGGTGGTACAACACCGAATGTGAAGCCTGAATCTTCACTGCAGTTCAGGAAGCCCTGTTAGGTTTGATCCCCGGGCTTCTCCCTCTTCTGAAGGAGCGTTCACGTGGCCCCTTTGGAGGCCTTCCTGAATTTGCTGATGCCGTTGAGAAGGGAGGAAGAACTTTGTGCAGCAGGTTTCAGCTGTGGTGTGCCTTTTCTCATCCACTTCCCTTTGATTTCCAGAGAAAGTGAGCAGAAGGGATTCTCTGAGGTAATTTATGTTTGTTTGGAGGGAGCAGAGGGAGATCCATTTTGAGTCCTTGAAACACTGAATGTCAGACATACGTCAGATCTGGTTTGACTCAGAATGCTTAAAAAGCTGCAAGAAAACAGGGTGAGCTTTCTGTGCGTCTATCAGAACTACCTTGTTCTTCCAGAGCAGTCCCTTTCTTAGTTGATCAGTGTACAGAACATTCCAACCCCAGATCTGCGCAGATTGTTAGTTGTGCTTTCCTGCACCTCTCACCTTTCCACTGTATGTGAAGATGGTCAGAGCCTGGCCTTGCGATCTGAAGACCTCAGTTCAGGCCTTGGTTCTTTGGCTCACCAGCCAAGTACTCCTGGTCAAGTCCCTTCATCTTTCTGGAGCCTCTTTCCTCCTCTGCAAAATGGTGAACGCAGACTAGATGGTCTTTAAGTTCTTTTCTGGTCCTTATATTCCAGGCACCTGCCAAGAGGAACAGAAACCATTCTTTAGTTTGACAAATTAGTCTTGTTTCTGTCCTTGCCTTTATGCAGGATAGTGTCTGACTTTTTGCAGATGGCCCACCTAGAATGTTGGAAAATCTCTAATGATCTCCGACTGGGCAGGTTGCCTCCATCCTCTGGGCCTCCGTTTTCTTACTGTAGATACAGGTTCCTCGAAGCTCCAAAGTCAGGGTGCTAGTATGAAGTTCTCTTTGCTCAGGATAGTACAGCAGGGTCATAACACCTATCAGGAGGTACTGGTAAGGGGGTCTGGTTTGAAAATTGGATTTAATGTGTTTTTTCAGGGAGAAAAAGAAAGCAGAGCTTGTTCCCACTTTATCCTCAGGTGTGCTTGAGGTGCTTATCTACCTGTTTTGTGGCTAGTGGGTTTGCTTTTGGATCTCCACTTATGGGTGGGAACATCCCCATGGATCAGAGAGCCAGTGAAATACTGAAGAGCATGCTTTTTAAACAGCAGTGCAGCCCTCCCTTCATTGCAGAGGCGGGCTGTCTATGGATGTACGTACTCTGTCACACATAATGTGCTGACAGATTTTGCTGAACTACTTTTTTTCTTGCAGTGATATTCCATCACATTTGTCTAGTACAATTTGTTTAGCTATTCCCTTGCTTTTCTTTCTCTCGTTTGATTTAAATGATGGCTTGCTGTGTAGAGGAGGGCAGGGGGTGGGGATATATGTAGAAATGAATGTATTTTGGATGGTAAAAGCAAACATTATCAACAGAAAAAGCTAATACATTTAATTATCAAAATTGTTCTGGAAGTTTTTTTCCTGTCCCCATCACCTTGATTTCCCATATATATGAGGCAAAAAAATCAAATTTCCATCGAGTCAAAACCTTTATAGCAGGTGAAATGTGTGAAAATCCTGTGATATCCAAAATACCTTTATTTCCTTAGGATTCGGTCAGTAAGCATCCTTGATCTCATCACATGACATGAATTCATTGCTGTTCTCCAGACTTCTTCTATGTGTTCCAGGTCCTTCATCCTGGAAGTTCATTCCAGCCTTGGAATTCAGATACTGGAAGTTTATCCTCTGCCCCTTTGACCTCTTCTTCTTTTTTTTCTTTTTCTCTTCTTGCGAGGCAATTGGTGTTAAGTGACTTGCTCAGAGTCATACAGCTAGTATTATGTATCTGAGTCCAGATTTGAACTCAGGTCCTCCTGACTCCAGGGCCGGTCCTCTATACACTGTGTTACCTAGCTGCATCTTTTTTTTTTTTTAAGTCAATTGGGGTTAAGTGACTTGCCCAGGGTCACACAGCTAGTAAGTGTCAAGTGTTTGGTCTGAGGCCGGACTTGAACTCAGGTCCTCCTGACCTCAGGGTCAGTGCTCTATCCATTGCGCCACCTAGCTGCCCCTGCCCATTGACCTCTTCCTCTGATTTGATGACTCCTCCCAGGCCTTCCATTTAAGGAGGGGAACCAGGCCAGCTTCCTCTCATTCCTTTCCCGGCTGTACTCCAGACTTTGTCTGGCATGCCCCTGGGCCAGGTGTCCTTCTGGGACCCTGCCTTTTCAGCTTCCTTTTATTTGATGTCTTCCCCCATTAGAATATAAGCTCCTTGAGGGCAGGGACTTTATTTCTCTTTGTATTTGTATTCCTAAGACTTGGCTTGATGCCTTGCACTTAGTAAGTGCCTAATAAATGCTTTTTGACTAACTGCTCATTGTTGGATTTAATTGTGCTGTTGAGCAGTTGTTCAGGCTTATTTTTTCTTTGGGATGTTGCAGGACCAGTGTGTGTGATCCCTGCCTCTCCCCACTGGACCAAGTCCCTTCATGACCAAAGATGATCTATCCTGTCATTCCTGCTCTCATCTCTGCCTCCCTCCCTTCCCCCCACCAGCGTCCAACCTCTCCCTATGGAGTAGTTCCTTCCCTACTGTTTCTAAATGTCTGAAGGTCTCTCCCATCCTGAAAAAGCCCTTGCTTGACCCCACCCTCAGGGTGTCATCCTTTGTCCTTCCTCCCTTCGCTGCCAAATGCCTGCTCTTGCCATTTACTCTTGTTTATCCACTTCGTCTCCTCTCACTCAGTGTGGCTTTTGACCTCATCACTAAAATGAAGATGCTCTCTCCAGAGTTGGCTGTGATTTCTTAGTTGCCCAGTCTGCTGGCTCTTTGTTATTCTCATCCTTTTTGACCTCTCTGCTTGATACTGTGGACTGCTCTCCTCCTGGATATGCTCCCGCCTTTGAGTTTTCGTGTTGCTATTCTTCATTCCTCCGTCCTGCCATGTCATGTACCCGCCAACCCCATTCACATACCCCAAAGCTCTCTCCTGGGCCTTATTTCTGTTCTGTCTTGGTAACCTCGTTAGCTCTTACGGGTTTAAATATCATCTCGATTATTAAACACATAGTAAGTACTTAATAAAGACTTGTTGATTGATTGATTCCTTTCTTAGGACAAGTACATGCTGGCTCCAAATGCAAGTTCATAGTTTGGAGAGACTGCATCAGTGAGACAAATTAAAAAGCAAACAAACACTTTACTAAATATAAACAAACACTCAACAAAGATATGCATTGACAAGTATACTTCTCTGAGTCCTGGCCTCCAGGTCAGTTACCCAGCCTACATAGGAATAAATAGTTTTATCAGATATGAAGCGCCATAGTCCCTTCATAATACCATCTTAATTTATATTACATCACCAAAAAGTGAACCTTAGAGCATTTGGCCTATCCTTGCCTAGTTCTGTGCACTTTACATCAATTCATAGAAATTTTCCTAGGTTTCTCTGAAACTTTCTTCTTCATTTCTCTAACAGCACAACAATATTCCATTATATTTATGTACCATAACCTGTTCAACCAGTGCCCAATTTACGGACAACCCCTCAGATTCCTGATCTTTGCTATCAGTGTTCTTGTACGGACTTAGGGCTTGTTTTGCTTAGACCAATTCCTCCCTTAATCTGCTTTCCCTCGCAATCTCTGGTCTGGTCTGAGCTCTGCAAGTTCCTGACCTGGGTTTGAGCCTGAGCAGCAGTAGACGGGAGCTGGACGCTGCCACTGTCAGCCAGCTGGGGAGCTTAGGAAGCTTTATGGAACCGCAGACTCTTTCTTCAACTGGAATTCCTGCCCGGGTTATTCCTCTTCAGATTGTGCTGGAGGCTGGAACTGATAGCCTGATCTGCTTATGGGGTCTGAGCTTCCCTGATAATGCTGGGGTCTGCACGTGCCCATCTCTCAGTTTGGGGCCTGAGGCCACTGGGGCAAGGGTGAGAGTGCTCACATTGCCTGAAGTTGAGGTCCTTCGCCCTCTTGGGTCCTCCTGCTGTAAGTGTCCTAGTTAGCCCTGAAATCCTCTATCATGTAGAAGTCTAATGTTTATTGGTCAGGACAATGGAGAGAGTGCCAGGCCTGGAATCAGAAAGACTCATCTTCCCTGAGTTTGAATCTGGCCTCAGACACTTACTAGCTGTGGGACCCTGGGCCACTCACTTACCCTGTGGCCTCAGTTCCTCATCTATAAAATGAGCTGGAGTAGAAAATGGTAAACCACTCCAGTATGTCTGCTCAGAAAACCTTAAGTGGGGTCATGAAGAGTGGGACACAACTGAAATGTCTGAACAACAGCAAATGTTTATGGGCCAGCTCATGCTGAGAGCTGTCACGTCCGTGTAGATCGAATGCCAGGGACTTTACTGCTGCCAGTCAACCCTTTCCCCTTAAGCTTTCGTGCTCACAGGAACTTCATAGGAAGATTTCCATTTTGTGCATTTATATTTTAATAATAGCTCACATTTAGAGTGCTGTAAGATTTACAAAGCCAAAATGGGGCAATTAGTATTTAAGTGATATCTTTCATTTTAGAGATGAGCAAACAGATTCCCAGAAGTTAGTTGAGTTTCTAGTAATGACAGGGCTGGAAGTCAGACGTAGGCCTCTCCTGACTCTGAAGTCTATCTCTTTCCTCTACCCTCGACTGCCTCTAATTGAGTATATTCCAGCATTCTCAGCCCTTGACAGTTCCTAATACATTTTCCTACTAACTTGTATGTATAATACAAATATTTTAAATTTTAAAAAATTGTTATCTTTGATTTTGAATATTGCCTTCATTTCTGAATATATCCTTCTCCCCTCCCCAGCAAGTCTTCTTGTAACAAAGAATAAAAAAAAGTTTTTTGGTCTGGTTTTTTGTTTGTTTGTTTGTTTGTGTTTTTGGAATGGCAGTTCAGCAAAACTAACCAGCACATTGGCATGTCTTTCAGTATGTGCACCCTCCCACATCCATAGTGTCCAGTCCCCCCCCTTTGCAAAGAAGAGAAGAAATCACATTTTTTCATTTCTTTTTTTGGAAATCAACTTGGTATTCTAATCACACACAGTTCAGTTTCATTTTTTTTTCTTTCTTTTATATTGTTGCAGTTTTGGTGTCTGTTATTTTCCTGGTTCTTTTTATTTCACTTTACATCGATTTGTCTTCCCATGTTTCTCATATTCGTAGTTTCTCATAGTGCATGAATAATTCCTTTATGTTCATGTACTGCAATTCATGCGGGCATTCCCAAGTCAGTTGGCACTTACCTGGTTTCTAGTTCTTTGCAACCACAAAAAGGTATTGCTATGAATATTTTGTATAGGACTTTCTTTCTGTAATATATGCCTAACAGTGAGATTTCAGCGTTAGAGGGTATGAACATGTGGCCTCTTTTTTTTTTTTTTAGCATAATTCCACATTGATTTCCATAGCTACACCAAGAGCATGCTACGTGTCTTCCCGAAACCCCTCCAATATTAACCATTTTTGTCTTTTGTCTTGTAGTCCGTGAATCTTGATGTGACTCCAGATAATCTATTTACAGTAGCATTTGTTTTTCTAGCACTTTAGGGATTAGGAAGCATTTCCCCCCAACAACTCTGAATTGTGAGCATTGCAAGTGTAATGCTGCCTCCCCAGTCTATAAATCTAGTAGTAGTCAGAGCCAAGGTTAGAACCAAGGTATCCAGACTCAATACTTCATTCTACACCCCTCTCTATCCTTGTCTGCATGATCTGATAACTTCTGGGTTCTTTTCCATCAGTGACTTACTCTGTGACCCAGAGCAATTGTCTAGCCCCTCGTCTCAAGAGTTTTATGTCTCCTTTCCTCACTGCTGTGTTATGTGGTTAGGTTTGGCAAGATCTTTGGGATCTCAGAAAAACTCCAGCCCTAGAGAAGTGCCAAGTTTGATGTTTCCCGTAAGGCATTATTCAGGCTTTTGCCCTCGAGGTTTTAGTTTTCCATTTCTGTGTCTCATTTGAAAAATTCTGTGTCTAGCTTACTTCCCCTGGCCTTGCTGTCTAGCCATAGCTATGTTGAAAGCAGGCAGCCTTTTTTCATCATTGGACAGACAACAGTTTGGCATTTGAATCACCAGTCCCAGGGAAAGATTATTTTAGATTTGTCTTTTAATTCTTCCAGAAACTAAAAGAAAATGCATTGTTATCTTCTACATTAGACCCTTTAAAATCACCCTGGTTTCTTGGTTAAAACTGCCATTTTAAAGTTGTTGCTAGGGTTGGAGACGTCCTTCACAACCTCTACAGGAGCCAGCTTAGAGCCAGAGAGCCATTTTAGAGGTGCTGGTAGACAAGGAAAATCTGCAGCTGTACACGTAATAGGAGAAAAGGCTGATGGGGTAATTTGGTGCCCAGTGTATGTGCACAGGCTGAATATTGAGTGGATAGCAAACTGGATGAGAGTTAAGAGGAGACTGTGGGTAGATATATTGAGGAGTGAGTCCATGTTATTTTCCCTCATAGCCTCATATCCATAACTTTCCTATTTAATAAGGCTATGAATATTGTCCTTTGTGGACATCTGGCCTTCAGCAAGAGGAGGGGGCATTTGCTCAGACAGTAGGTCTTACCATTCATCCCTGCTTTGGCTCTCTGGGCCTTTTGAGTATATACTTGTAAGCCTGTAAAAACCACTTCTCATATTAAAATTTTTTCTTTTGTTTTCTTTCCTTAGCAAAGAAGGTGTCTACGAAATCAGTGCATCACCCACAGGCATTTCTCGGTGAGTGAGTGAAGCCTCGCAGTAAAGGGGCTGGTTCTTAGTAAGGCCCTGTCATTTCGGAGTACCCACCTGAGGACTTGACTCTGAAGATACACCTGTATATGTGCCGAGATTTGAAACATTTGACTTCAAACTCATGAATCCTATTTGGCAGCTTGGGTTAGAGAACAAGGATACTTCTGTTTCTTGACCTGTAAAATGAGGGGGGTTGGACAAAACGATCTCTAATTTTTTCCAAAAATTCCTTTTGGATTTAAAAATCTGATTTTCATGGACATTTTTGTTTTTTTTCCATCACATTCATTTCTGAATATAGCCTTTCTCCCTTCCCTACCCAGTGGTCCATCCCTTGAAACAAAGATTAAAAAGGCAAGTTTCTTTTAACTTTAACAGCTGTAGAAGGGCTGTTTAGTTAACTTTCCAGGTCCTTGAGCAAGCTGGTGGGAGAATTAGTGCCAGAACAGGTGTTTCTTAACTTGGGGCCTAGGCTACTTCACCGGTATCCAAGAAAATGAAACTACATTCTTATAGTTTTTACACCCATAGAAAATATGAGATGTGAAGAAAAAAGACACTTAAAAATTTTAAGCAAACCAGAACTTAATTGATCTGAGTGAATTTTTTTTTGAAAGTTCATAGGAGCACAGATTTAGAAGCAGCTGGGGCTTTAGAGCCTGTCTCATTCAGTGTCCTTATTTTACAGATGGGGAACTGAAGCTGAGAGGCTCAGTAACTATGTGCTCAGGTGGTACAGCCAGCATCTAAGGGAGGATTTGAATTCAAGGCTTCCTGATGTCCTAGATCCAGCATGCTGTTCACTCTGCCATTTAGTGATGATGCTATTGGTTTGGATGGTTCATGGAGTGCCTTTGGGAATTACCTTCGGAACCCATTTGTAAGGCACCCGGGATGAACATCCTTACTATTTTGTAGTCAGGCCACATTTTGACACAGACTGCCATTTCACTCACTATTTTCCATCAGTTTTGGCTCCAAATTGCTTATGGTTTTTACTGAATTTAATCCCCCCCAGTGAAGATTTGTCGCAAATGAGAATATTTAAAAGCTGTCCTTCTGAAGGCAGTTCCAATGTTGGAATGAACAAGAGACCTCCCAATGTGACCATTTTGAAGGATACAGCCATCCTTTGGCCAGATAAATTCTGGTATGTTTGTCTTCTTAAGGAATCACTCTTATTACAAATGAGCTTTGAAGGCTCTGCCTGGGAAACAGGAACCTGGCAGGTTCCACTGAGCTCCAAGGACCTTAAGTATGGGTCTGGCGACAGTCTGTGGCTGCTGTCCAAGGTCCAGCCTGGCTGAGTGCTGAGTTGTCCTCTTAAGTGATGAATGTCCAGGAGGTTGACCTCTAGGCGATGAAATTTTTGACCAGAGCGACCTGTTGCCTATATTTGCATCTCATAGCATTCCTTGGAACTGGCAGAGGGATGTTCAAAGGGAAATTCTTGATTCAGGAGACTGTAAATCCTAGAACATTTACTTTTCTTAACACTTGAGTAATTAAGTTTTCTATGAAAACATCATAGATCGCAGTGTTGTTTGCCCCAGATTCATCTTTTGCTATGACAAGGATTGCCCACTGTGTATGATAACACTGCATTATGGGAATTGTATAGCACCTAGAGTAAACATAGACTCTGCCCTTCAATAGTTTATTGTCAAGAGACAAGACTAAGGACTTAACAATAATATTAACTTACATTTATGCAGCATTTTAGGTATTTCAGAGTGCTTTCCTCATAGTAGCCCAGTGGGACAGGGGTTACAAGGATCATTTCCCCCATTTTATAGATTTAGAACAGGTTCATCAAGGTGGAGCGTCTTGCCCAAAGTCACATATCCTAGGGTCTCTTCACTGCCTCTTCCCATCTCCAGAGTGAGGGCACTCCCAGGAATAGGGAGAACATTGGATAGTTGTTCTCTGGGGAGCTGTTGGACAGCTGGAAGGTTCCCACAAGATCAGAGAGCGGGAGCAATCCTTTGGAGAATCTCATTTGTCTTTGTGTGCTTCATCCTGAAGACCTGAACCGTGAATCATTGGCTTTAGGCCATCATGGTCTGAGCAGCTTGAAGAGAGTGGCCTACCAGTACTGTCTTCGCCTGACCAGATACTGCCTCTCCCTTTGCTATGGGGGGGGATTTGGGAGTGAATGGAGGGATGGGGGGATAGAAGAGGGGCAGATATGGGAATGGCATGCCTCATGTTTGATCCTAAAACACAAAGGCATACAGCCAGGGTTAGGGAGTGATTCTGTTCATTATCTCAGATGCCTGTGTTTTCAGATGAACCAAGGTCAGGGGCTACATCCAAGTAGTTTATATTCTTTTTCTCAACTATAGCATACAGTCATTACATCACAAATTGGCATACTTTGTGTCTCATGGCTGAGATGCGTGAGCATCCTTTGTTCATGCATCTTTCTACTCTGCCCACCTTTCTTATCTTGGATGCATTTATTTCTCTCATTCTTGTTGCCTGGCTTTATGAAACATTCCTCCTTCCCTCACAAGGGATCTTATTGGGTTTTTTTTTTGTTTGTTTGTTTGTTTGTTTTTTACTATCAATTCATTTGACTATATGGCATATTACAAGCTTTTAGTATACTTTGTTTATTTCCTACCTGAGCAGAGTAACTGTTTGCAAAAATTATTGCAGAGCAGTCATGTGTTTTTTTGAAGATAGAACTTACTGAGCACTCTGTGGACTGTATTTTCTGCCAGATCCCCTAAACAGATTGAGCTTGCATATTGTTGCTGGCCTGGACCTCTTTAGTCCTTTTAAAGATCCCAAGTAGGGTACTGTCTTAACATTTCCAGCTTATGCAGTCTCTTTGCATGTTTTTATGGCCCAGTCCCCTCTAGTTTCCACAGCACAGTATTGTCCAGTCACACACGGTGTCCCTTGGTTGCTCACTGCCTTGCTGACTTTGGTTTTCCAAAGTGCCTTTTGATTAATAGGAGGTGGGAATGCCCCGATAGATTGGCTGTTTGCTTTAACATCTGTAGACGTTATCTCTACCTTGGTGCACTCTAACCTGTCATGCTTCTGCTTCCTTTGTCAGGATACGCTTGTTTCCCAATTTTGTTGAATCAGAAGAAGCAGATTGGATATTTGAACAACTGTGCCAAGATGTTCCGTGGAAGCAGAGGACTGGTATTCGAGAGGGTGAGTTAGGGAAACTCATTACCTTTCTTCACGTGGGCATTTCTCATTTTAAGCTAGGATCACATCACAAGAGCTTCGAACATCTTAGCTCGTAAAAGGTGAACATCATTTTCAATGTCCTTTCCACTCACGGGAGACATTTCTTGTCCAGAAGCATCATGAACCTAAGGAATGGGGACACTTGGTGCTTTGGGGTGTTCTGTCGGGTTTTTGTATGTGGCTGCTTTCCTACAGGATTATTTCTATAAGACTTGTTCTAAGTTCTTGGAGTCTGTAAGCTCACGTTTCTAACCCTAAGTACTCAGTTCTTCAAACTACTCTCCTCCCATCAGCTACTCCTCCACTCCATGTCAGCTGCCTGCAAAGATACTCACATCCTGGATCTTGCCATTACCCACAGATGTACCACCCCCGTGTTTAAGAATTTGGAAATTCCCTTATCTGATCATAATCGAGTGACCTTTCACCTCTCCCTCTGCCTTTCTTTGTGTAACCTTACTCTTTGTTCGCCCCATAACCTTCAATCCCTTGACCCTTCAGTTTTCTCCTAGGCCATCTCCCCTATAGTAGGCACTCTTTCCTCTTCTCCCCATCTTGACCCCTTGGTGAGCTAATTCAGTTCTCCCTTGTCTTCCTCTCTTCCTCAGTCCCTAGCCCCGTCTCCACATGGCCAGTTACACCTAGCCAAGCCCCAGCCTTGGATCACCCCCACCATTTGTCGCCTTCGCACCTGCACACATGATGATGAATGAATGTAGAGAAAATCACACAATCATTCTGGTTGAGTCCTCTACAGATTTAGGTTACGCAACCTCAAGTGGGCCCTCACTGCTGCTAGACTTACTATCCCACTCTCCCTTCATCAAACCTCCCATGGCTCTCTCTCCCTCAACCCTTTCAACTGAGAACCTTGCCTCACATTTTACAGAGAAAATTCAGGCCGTTCCCTCAGAGCTCCTCCCTCCCCATCTCCCATAACTCGTCACCTCTCCCACATCAAGTGCTGGCCCCACTACCTGCAGCTCAAGGGATCTCATTCCGTGCTGTCCTCTTCAATAGATTGTCCTTTCTGTCCTCCCCTCTTTCACTTATTTTCAGTATCTCCCTCTCTACTGGTTCCTTTTCTCCTGCCTACAAACATGCCCAGGTCTCCTGTATCCTGAAAAAACCCTCACTTGATCCTTCCATCTCTGCTAACTGTCTCTTGTTTCTCTTCTGCCCTCTGTGGCTAACCTCCTTGAAAAGGCCGTCTACAACTGAGGCCTCCACTTTTTCTCCTCTTACTCTCTTCTTTACCCTTTACAATCTGCTTCTGCCCTTACTCCACCAAAACTGCTCTCTCCTAAGTTGCTCTTTTAGCTGCCAAATCCGATGGCCTTTTCTTAGTCCTCATTGTCTTTGACCTCTCTGCGGCTTCTGATCTCTCTCTCCTCCTTGATATTCTCTTTGCTAGGTTTGCTGCTCTCTGGTTCTCCTACCTCACAGACTGCCCTTCCTCTGTCTCCTTTGCTGGATCCTCCTCCAGAACACACCCTCTAATCATAGGTGTCTCTCAGGGGTCAGTCCTGGACCTCTTCTCTTCTCCCTTGATACTATTTCACTTGGTGATCTTATCAGCTCCCATGGATTTAATTATCCTCTCGGTGCTGATGTTTCTCAAAGCTACCTATCCTGTCCCAGTCTCACATTTCTAACTGCCTTTTAGACATCTTGAACTCAATGTCCAATAGATGTCTTACAGTCAGTATGTCCAAAACAGAACTTATCCTTTCCCCTAAACTCTCCCCCCTCCCAAATTCCCTATTACTAGAGAGGGCAACACTTTCCTTCCTGTCTCTCAGGCTCATAGCCCAGGGATTATCCTCGACACCTTGCTGCCCCTCACCCCACTTGTCCAAATTGTTGCCAAGGCCTGCAGATTTCCCCATTCCAACATCTCTCGAATATCCCCCTTTCTCTCCTCTGACACTACCACCAACCTAGGGCAGGCCCTCATCACCTCACCTGGCTTATTGCAGTAGCCTCCAGTCATTGCAGTAGCTGACCTCAAGTCTCTTCCCACTCCAGTCCATTGTCTCTTCAGCCACCAAAGTCATTTTCCTAAAGCAAAGGTCCGATCATGTTACCCCTTCCCTCAACACTCAGTACCTTTCAGTGGCTCTGTCTTGCCTCCAGGAGCAAATACAAAATGCTCTGTTTGGAGTTCAGAACGCTTCATCACCTAGCCCCCTCCTGTCTTTTGAGTCTTCTTACACTTTACTCTCCCACACTTGTTCTTTGATCCAGTGACTCTGGCCACCTGGCTGATCCATGAACAAGACTCTCCGGGCATTCTCTGTGTCTGTCCTCCGTGCCTGGATTGCTCTCCTTCCTCTGCTCCCACTGCTGACCTCCCTGGCTTCCTTTAAATCCCAACTGAAATCCTACCTTTTACAGGAATCCTTCCCCTACTTGTAATTATTTCCTATTTATCCTGTATCTAGCTTGCTTTTTATATCTTTGTTTGCACATTGTCTCCCCGTTAAATTGTGAGCTCCTGGAGGGCAGGGACTGTCTTTTGCCTCTTTTTATATCCCCAGGGCTTAGCACAGTGCCTGACACGTAGTACGTGTGTAAGCAACGTTTACTGAATTTATTGAATTCTCTTCTAATCCATGTGATCGCTTTCAGTTGTTCTTTTAGACTTTTTGGAGTAGACCACTAATTTCATTGTTATAGGCAGCAGTATCCTGCTGAGGGAACTCCTTCTACCCTACACGCAGCAGCACGTCCTCTACAGCTTCTGCCCCTAGATAGCCACCTGCCTGGGGCACTGAGGTTATGGGATGCAGTCCATATTTGTCAGAAGCAGGGTTTGAACCCAAGTCTTCCTGACTCCCAGGCTGCCCTCCTGACACACTGCCTCCCTTTTGCAGACTTCCAGAGACTATTTTATTTTAGGTCATATATATACAGTTCTCACCCAGACACAGCCATATCTGTCCTGTAAGCAGTTACTACTGAACATGGAAAGAGCCCTGGTCTTGAGAGTCAGGAGACCTGAACCACTCACCTCCGCCATGTTCACCTCTGCCATACTCACCTCCATCACTCTCACCTCCACCATACTCACCTCCATCACTCTCACCTCCACCGTACTCACCTTCATCGCTCTCACCTCCGTCATACTCACCTCTGTCATGTTCACCTCCACCATGCTCACTTCTGCCACTCCCTCCTTGCTTGGCTGTCTGGGTGACTGGGTAAGCTGCGTGGCCTCTTTGACGTTCCTCATCTGTCAGACCAGCTGTGCTTGCCTGGCTTCCCTCCAGGAATGGGTGTCAGGGTCTGAGGGGAGCACATCCAAAGGAACCTTCTTTTCCAATACATTTTTTTTTTATTTTTTTTCCCCCTGTTCTTCATTTGAAATCTTTTTTGTAAAACTCTCTTGTGTAGTTGCCTTGGTTTTCTCTCATCAGCTTTGTTCCCTGCCCTTATTAGCTCTGGAATCAGCTTTCTCCTTCCTGCTTCACACAGTCAGTCTTTCGTTTGTGTCTGAGCGTCGGCTCTCCTGCTGGTCCCATCATTCGAAGCGAGTCTTTTGTCAGTCTTTGCTGAGTGACTTCAAAACAAAATCTTGCACCTTTTAATGGAAAGGACCCATTTCCTGTTGCTTCAGCCTTTTGAGTTGTCTCTCTTGCACTTTTAATTTCATGTTGCAGAGAATTATAAGCATAACATATGTTTTAATGCCAGATTAAAAACCCAGAGACAGTTGGAGTGTGAAGCCTTCCAAGGTGCCTGCTCCACCACGTGTTGTCAGTGGGGGGCGCCTGTGCCATGGCCTTTCCTTAGCATTGTCGGGAGGAGGGACGGGGAGCAGTGCACACTGGCATCAGCTCCTGAGCGTCCCCTCCCCGAGAGCAGTTACATAAAGAGGGAGAGGCCCTTTGGAAGTGACGGGGAAAGGGGAGGAGGGTCTCAGGGAGCCACTGCTTCAGTTGGCTGAAGGCTGGCTTTGATAGGAGGGCTTTGCTGCCCTGTTGGCTTCAAGTCCTGTCCCAGACATATGCAGCCTGGGCATGGGCTGATGTAGTGGAACCCTTTCCACTGCCTTTGGACATCAAGGGGAGGGGGTTCTTTAAAAAAAGCCATTGTCACTTCTCTTCTTACCATTCATCTCCTTCCCCATGTTCTTGCCTTCCCCCTCCGTAACCTTGTCGCTCATTCCTCTCTGATGGCTCCTTTCAGGTAAATGTCTTTTCACTTTGATTCGTCATGCACATTCTGATCCCTGGACCTTTGTTTTTGCAATTTGCCCAATTTGGAATATCTTGACTCCTTCTGCCTGCCCATACAAGTCCTACCCATCCTCCCAAGGCCCACCTCATGGCTCAGTTGTAGCTGCACTGCCCACATCAATCTCCTTTGTGCCTTCCTGTTGTACTTACTATCTGTGCTCCCACACTTTGACCCCTGATCACGCATTATCTTGTATTCCTCTATGCCTCGTGTCTAAGAAAGATATTCTAGAGGGAGGGGACTCAGGCTTTTCTTGCATTTTCTGTAGCATCTAATACATTGCAGAGCTCTTAGTGAACACTCAAAAGCTATATTGATTCCAGTGTAACCTGTGTTCACAGAATGAAGTCTCTTTGAAAAGAAAAAACAAGTATGCGTGTTTATGTTCCCACCCCCCCACCCCCATTAGAGACCACACTTGGGTTTTACACAGTCAGATTTTGCAAGGGAGGATATTATGAACTATATTAAAACCGATCTTGGATTGAATTGAATCCAGTTGAAAAATTCCAAAGGCCTTGTGTTTTCTTTCTATAGGTATAAGTTATCTGCAGCCAAGATTGACAGCATGGTACGGAGAACTCCCTTACACTTATTCCAGAATTACAATGGAGCCAAATCCTGAAGTATGTTCAGATTTTATAATTGATGTATTTTTATGGACTAAATACTAAGAATGTATAGTATGGAACTTGAAAAGAATACTCCTACTGGATAGGGTCTGGGGGGGGGGGGCACCAGTCCTTCAGCCCTTGGTGACTGTCATTCTTCACGTCCTTTTTGTGATCTAGTGAAGCACTTGAGAGTAAGATCAAAATAGAAGCAGTACTTAGCATGGCTTATTTTCTCAGCCATTCTCCCTTCTGTGTATACGTTGGTCTCTCCATACTATGAGGTAGTATCCTTGAGTCTGCCCTATGAAATCAGATCGTACCTTTCCCTCCCCTAAGCTATTTTGTCATTTCTGAAAAATCTGGAGCTTTCTGTGTTGATCTGTGTGTTGATCTGTGTTTTGACTGGAGCTTTCCAACCTCCAGCTTGTCATTTTCTTGGGTGTTTCTGCCTCCCTTTTGCTTTGTTTGAAATGTCCACTAGGGTAGGCTGTTACAGCGTAGTCTGTAAATTAAAATTGTTGAGAGGATGGAGTTGGTACATAAGAGCCCCCGGATGAGTTTGGAGGAGCCTTGCCACTGGTGAGGGATGTTATGTGTTAATTAATAAACTTGGAAGAAAAGGATATTCTGTTCACTGTATGTGAACAAACAGAAGTGTGAGACATTTCTGAGAATGTAGTTAATCTGTGGCAGATGCTGGTTAATTTGTAATGGAAAACTTACATCTGAAGATGTGAGAGGGTAAAAATATTGACCAAATCATCATGGTTTTTCGTTTATTCCTGGTTTGCTATTTTGTATGTAGCCCAGGGAAGTAATCGACCCTTGACCACTTGAGGTTATTTTGGAAACCTGTGTTGGGCATTGAGCTCTCAGTCCAGTTTGTAGTTTACTGTTGCCCATATTACTTGGCATCATTAACTGTCTCTCGTTATCAACAATTATTGAATGGGATCATGGCAGTTGAGCTGGGGGCGGGGGAACAGCTCTTATTCATGGTGGTTGCTCTTTCTATGTTAAGTTAGAAGATAGATGGAGCCTGTTAAAAAGTGGTGGTTTAAAGTAGGAACTCACAGCATTTCTCTCTTTCCAGACCCTGTTGGCAATTTGAAATTCCTTCAAAAGGATTAGAATTCTTTAGTTTGAAATTGGGTAGTTTGTTGGGAACATACTTCAGCTTTGCAGATAGATTTTTAAAATCTCTTTAGTCTGCAACCTAATTTTTAGAGTTGGTATATGGGTTAAGGTAACTAATCTAAGGTAACATGGGACCAAGTGAGGTTGTAAAGCACCCTTTCTAGAATTTTCGTTAAAGCAGAGTAAACTATTACCTAACCAGAATAGTTTGTTTATTTCTTGGCTTTAAATTGCGCCTTAGATGCAGTTTTTACTGAAAGAGGGATATGGACCAGCCAGCCGCACTCTCCACATCCATTTTAACTCTGGGATTCCTTTATTTCTTTAGCATTTACTGCATTCCCTTGACTTTTCAGGATGGGTTGTCATTCTTGAGGATGTCAGATAGAGACGTTTAGGCTCCCTTAGAGGTTCCACTGTTTGGGTCGTGGGGGAATTGGGCGAGTCAGTGCAATAGTGATAAAGGGAGGTTTTGTCCTCTGACTCATTGCTTTCTTCTCCCCTATCTTTCCATCATCCTGCCACCACGAAGAATGGAGATAATTACAACCTAGAACCAGCACAAAATTTATTACTGTTACATACTGCGAACTGTAAAACTTGGGCACGCTAAGAGTTGTTCCTTAGAGTTCCTTAGCTCTTTTGCAGAAAGACCATTCTCTTTTTTCATTCACTTCAATCGATATTTTTTGAGCAATTATATATGCACGGAGACACTATGATTTATGCCTCTCTCCTTGTTAAGTCCTGGCTGATCTTTGTTATTGTGATGTTGTCAGTAAGTGCAAAGCTTTAGAATCATCAGGAAATGTAGCTAATTATGTTGTCTGAGGAACTTTTAGGAGGAAAAGGACTTGACCCGAGGTCAGATCTTGGCTCTGTTACTACTGAATGTAGTAGTAAGTAGTTATGGGATAAATACAACTCTACCCTCCCCTGGCCCCCATTCCCCAACCACAGTTACGGCTTTCACATAAGTATGAAAGCAAGACTCTAAAAAGCCCTTCCTTGATGATCTTAGCAGCCCGGAACCCTGAGTGACCCTGAACACTGATGGTTTTCTTTGGCTCCTGTCCTTTCCTCCACCTTCATACGCACTAGGGTGCATTTTTGAAGAATCTTTGAAGAACTCTGTAGAGCACTTTGTTTGAACTTCTGGGAGGAAAGACACGTAAACTGTAACAACAAAGAAACAATTCAGGGTGCCCCAGTAGAAGGCGGTATAAAGTGCTTCATGAGGCTGGGGTCAGAGCTTCCTGCCAAGCAGTGAGAAAGCAGGAACTTCCTCAAAGAGCCAAAGTCTCCACGCAAACCAGCCAGCCTCAGTGACCCAGAACCCCCTCTGTGAGTCTTCGTGAGCCCTCAGTGAACACGTGTAGAAGGACAGTCAGGGTTCGAATTCGGTGAAAGACAATTGGCTTTTCATTCTCAGATCACTGTGTAAAAAGCAGGCCACAGAGAAGGCAGCCTTAAAATCTTGGTAAAAACAATGCCCCCCACTCTTTCTTAAAGCAGCGAAGGACCCCCATTGAAGTGCCTTCTCTGCCTCGATCCTGGGGCAGGGGAGAGAAGCTTCCCCTGATCTCCTCCTCTGACCTCAGCACTTTGCTTCCTCTCTGTGATGCACTTAGCCTCCACCTGGTGTTACTGTTATCTGATGACTTGTTCTCTCTTCCCTACTGGGGCAAAAACTTCTTGTGGATGGGGAGCAAATTTTACTTGGCATCGTATCCCCCACAGTGCTGTCCTTAGCGTGGTCCCTTGCATGGAGGAGGTACTCAGTACATTTGTAATGATTGAATTATTATTGATCTTGTGTCTTTACATTATTTTTACAACTCCCCAAAATAAACGTAAATACAAACAATTCCGTCTTTCAAAATAAATACAGGAACAGAATTAACAGAAGGAGGGTTACAGAGCAGGGTGGTTATTCATGCCAGAAAACTCCATTTGGTACCTTTTAGCTACCTGGAGACCCACCAAATGTGCCTGGTCTGATATGATACTTCTGAACCACAGCTGTTACAAGCCTGCCGATTTAGTTGTTCATAGACATGGTTTACCCTGGTTCAGTTTAGTGACAGTTGTCTCCCTGCAATGGGTCATGTACCAACTGTTTATGGTGAAAAGAAAAGGAATTGGACGGCTAGATTTGTTCTGGTCCTTTGTGACCTTGGTGGTGGTGGGGGCGGGGTATGGTGGGGGGTTGATGGTCTTGTTTAGTCATGTCTTACTCTTCATGTGTGGGCTTTTCTTGGCAAAGATACTGGAGTGGTTTGCCATTTCCTTTTCCAGTGGATTATGGCCAACAGAGGTTAAATGACCTGCCCAGAGTCACCCTGCTAGTTAGTGACTATCTGAGACCAGATTTTAACTAGGGTCTTCTGACTCCAGGCCCAGCGCTCTATCCACTGAGCCACTAGCTGCCTCCGGCTGTGGTATAGACCAAGCCTAATCGTTCTCATTATCGGTTCAATTCCAATATCACATTGCGGAGGGTGACTAGTCTTTATACTAGTTCGTCATCAAGTGTAATGGGAAAGGATTAAATGGTATAATGCTGTGCTAATATAACCAGAGAAATAGAGCAAAAACTCAGCTGTTGGACGTACTCAGGGAATGGGTTCCAGATCAGCATCCCTCGTCCTTATTTCTAAGCTGTTGGTTGATGCCCCCTGTTCTTTTGGCGCCATTTGCTGCCTCTCACTTCCTCTCTGTCCTCTCCTTTGTTGCGCCTTTCCACTGCAGTGGCATCCTGTGCTCAGCATGCTTAAGAACCGCATCGAAAAGAACACCGGCCACACCTTCAACTCGTTACTCTGCAACCTTTATCGAAACGACAAGGACGGCGTCGACTGGCACAGCGATGACGAGCCCTCGCTGGGGACGTGCCCCATCATCGCCTCCCTCAGCTTGGGGGCCACACGCATCTTTGAAATGAGGAAGAAGCCCCCCCCAGTGAGTACTCTCTGTCTGACCCCACGTGGTCCCCGGGGCAGATCGCAGTTCAGCACCGTTGTTGGAATCATTCAGTCAAGTACCTACTATGTGTCAGGTGCCGTGCCAGGTGCTGTGAAATAAATAGTCTTTGTCCTCAAAGAGCTTACATTCTTTTGAGGGGAGACAATATGTAGGAATGTAAAAGACATGTACAGAGTAAGTCCAAGGGGCTTCTGTGGGGCACAGTACGGTGAAGGCAGTTAGAGAAAACGGGAACATTGTGGGTGATAGGGAGAGTGGCGGGTGCCCTGATGACACGCCACCTTCTGGCCAGCCATTTCATTGTAGCCTTATTCATTATTTTCAGCATGTCGTTGATGTACGAGTGGCTTACTTTATTCTTGCAGATAAAGCAACTAAGCCAGGTAGATGTGGTGGTGGACTCGTAATCACAAAAGTCGGTGACGGAGATTGCTCTAGGAGTCAAGGCTTTAGCCTTCATAGGTCTTTTCAGTGGATCATCCTGATATTTCCTCTTGATGCACAAGGATGCTTGGACTGATTTCTGCCCAAAGTGCCATGGTATTTTTGAAGAGCCCCCTGATAGTGGCTACCTTGGCTGTTCTGGTGGGTGGGTTCAGCATCACAGTCTCGTGGGGAGCAGAAAAGTAGTAAGACGTCCATGCCGAGAGGCAGTCTCCCCCACACTTGTTCTGTACCCAGGCTTTTCTGGGTCCTGGCACGTTTTAGCTCAGAGACTCTGACGAGATCCCAGCCAGGGTGGTGTGCTTACACGCCACTTTTTAAATATGACCTGATTCAGACCATGGACACATTGGTCACCTGGGGCTTGATATCTGTTCTTCCTCAGAAGTCTTTCTCTGAGGATAAAGCTAGATGGAGCAGTTGTTCTGCTGAGTCACATATGGATGCCTAAACACTGTGTGTGGTGGCCTCTGCATTTTATTTTGTGTAGGTTATTACATTGTCTTGCTTCTTCTGTAGAGGAGTGTCAAGGTAGCTGTTTGGAGGCGGCTGCTGCTTGGAGGCGTAAGCCTTTTGAGTGCAAACCCTCACTCTGCTGTTCACCCTGCACTCTGGTGTCCTCTTCTGTAAAGAGGGAATGCACTAGCTGCTTCACAGCACTGTACACTTCTGAAGTGCTTTGTGAACCTTGAATCTCAGAATCTAAGTGCCAGCTCCTGTTAAGGTCATCCCCGTTTTACAGAAGAAGAAGTCAAGGCTCAGGGAAGTTAAGCGTTTGGCCCTAGTTACCTGCTTAGTCACTGGCGGAGCCTGGTCTTCAGATCTGGTCTCCTGGTTCCAAGGCCAGCACTGGTCTGATGTGCCAGTGATTAACAGGCAGGGTGAAGGCCTCCTTGTGAACATCACGTTTTGCCAAACCCCACCAGGTCATGCTTTGTTGGGAATAACTTGCAATCAGAATGGTGGTGCCTGGTCCTCCAAGGGAAATAAAGTCCTCCAGGGTTCTCTGGTGCACCCGTTGGGAACCACTGTATGTACTAAGCTCTGTCTCCATTGCCTGGCCCAACTTTGTTAGATTTTGTTTGTTTGTTTGTTTTTTTGTTATTTTTTTAGTGAGGCAGTTGGGGTTAAGTGACTTGCCCAGAGTCACACAGCTAGGAAGTATTATGTGTCTGAGGCCGGATTTGAACTCAGGTGCTCCTGACTCCAGGACCGGTGCTCTATCCACTGCGCCACCTAGCTGCCCCAAGCTTTCTTAGATTTTAATGAAATGGTAACAAACCCGTTTAATTCTGGTTTCAGTTTCAAAGGCAAAGGGGCAGGCAAGGAAATTGAATGTTGAGTACATGTGAAGTGAATTAACACATTGATGAATATAGCTATCAAATAACCTTTCCCCAGTGTCTGGGAGCAGCGTCTTTAGACGAAAGTAGATTTGGATTACAACGACGTGAAAAGCCCTCTTGCTTGTTTCTCTTGTTGCTGCAGAGATCAGCACCTTGACAAGGTTATTAGTTTTACAAGTTCCCTGTGATGCCTGCCACAGGTTCAGCCAGGCTGGAAGCATAAGCACCTATCTTGGCACTGCTAACCTTAGAAACAGGCCCCAGAGGAGACTGTTTTCCTCTCATTTCTCCCCCAGGATAGAAAGGAAACGTGTTCTCAAATTGGGCATCTGTTTGGTTTTCTCTGGAAAAATCAGGTCCGTGAACTTAGTTCCTATAGTCTGGGGAAACAGTAAATTCAGATGAGCATGGCCTCTGGAATTCTAAGCTGCTTGTTCTGTGCTTATTCCTCTTTGCTGCTCTGAATAATAGTTTGGGGGAAAGCTCACATGATCACCTTTTCTGTCAGTAGGACATTTGGGGGTTGGGGAGAATCTCCTGCCATTTCTAACTCCTCTTCTGATCTGTCTGACTTGTCTGAGTTGCTGCTTCCTGCCTGCCGGGTGATGTGGGAAGTGAGCCTTCTGCCGTTCAGGGGCCTTGCCGCTCTGCTCAAGGGTAGTGTGGACTTTGGGTCACTTTCAGAGAAAATTACATTCTCGGCTTTAAAAAAAACAGACCCAGTGCCTTTCTCCACAAAGTGAGCATGTGCTCTCTTTTCATTCTGATACTGTGGCAAACCTCTGGAGTTAACAGTCATCTGCAAACGGCTCCATTGTCTTCAGTGCTTTTTCTGTTGGCTTCTCACAGTGCCGGGATGATCTTGTGCAAATGTCAGGCCTTCCCTCCGCGATTCACACAGTAATACATGGGGTCCACATTCTTCCCCATCAGGAGTGCCTCGCCTCTTCCAACATGCCCAGCCTCATCCTTGTCATGGCTCCTGGGCTGGAGTGCCCTTTCTTTCCTTGCGGTCCTCCTTTGTTTGGTTTGGGGTTTTAGAGCAAACTTAGTGACACCTTTAGCATATTCTGAAGATGTGGTTCAAATACATCAATACAGAAACACAATGTCAGAACGGTAGTGTGCTTTGGGTCTCATCTTGTCTAACCCTTCATCATACAGGAAGCTGTTGGGTCTGGGCTTTGCTAGAGGATTGGAGTGACTGCACTAAGGTCACACAACTGGTCAGGGGCAGAGCTGCACCTAAAATCTGGGTTTCCTGATTGCTGCTCCAGTAACTTTTCCACTCATTCCACTGCCTCTTAGTGTGTCTAGAAACCAGCCCCCTCTTCATTTCAGCACTCCAAGGCCATCAAAGGTCTTAAGGCTGTGCCCTGACACATTTGTATCTCCAAATGATTTTGCTGCAGCGTTGAAGCCCAGTTGTAATGATGAGCTGGGTGCTTTCCCTGGCCAGCTTTAATTCTACACTGCAGTACAAGCTGGAGAGGCAATGACAAAAGCCCGTTGGCAGGCTGCTATTTCTCCGTCGGTTACCAGGGAAACAGTGATGGCTGGAGGAGGGGGGGGTGTTGTTAGATAATAGCAGGAAGTTTTGTGATGCACAAGAGATTTGGATGCCAAAAGGCTTGGTTTTTTTCTAGCAAATAACCTCTAGGTAATCTCTGTCCTTGAGCTGAATCATCAAAATGAAGTGCTTTTTTCATCCACCTCAGGGTGACTTGAGCTAATAGTCTCTCCTTTCCCTGGTACCTTTGGAAGGAGCAAGGGGAAATTCTGCTATATGTATCACCAGGGGGTACTCTTGTTCCACCATTTCTCAGGACAGAGGCTTTTAGGGGGTTTTGGTGAATATGTGTGGGCTGCCCTCGTGAGCTATAACATCAGCCTTATGAAAGGAGGGGTCTTACGTGTGTAGAGTGAAAATCATCAAGTATGATTTGAAAATCATATTTTTTTACTGGCTCTATGAGGTATGAGGCTCTATGAGTTTCATTTTAGGTCACCATTGACTGGAGTTAGAGAGATGGGGAGATAGAGAGAGAGAGAGAGATAGATAGATAGATAGATAGATAGAAAGAAAGAAATACATAGAGGTAGGTAGATAAAGCTAGATATAGATGGATAGGTGGAGAAATAGAGATGGATAAAGATTGATATAGATGAATGCATGTAGATAGATAAATAGATAGGATGGATGAATGGAGGATTTATTAATTACTTATTACTATGAGCCTAACATTGTGCTAAGTCCTAAGAATACAAATACTAGCAAAAAAGGCAGCCTTTACTATTGAAGAGCTTGTAGTCTAATGGGCAACCTCTGGGACAGTGCTTGGAGTACCTGACCTCGGTCCTTTAGCTAACAATGGCCACTTTTATTTCAGCATAGCTCTGTCCCCCTCGTGTACACTGTGGGTCTCCTTGCTCTGATGGCTTACTTGTGGATTCCTGCCTCATTTGTTTCATTATTTTGCAAGGACTTGAGAAAGATCATTGAACATGGTGGTCTTGTGTTTCAGGGCCCTCACCACAAGTTGGAAATGTGACCCCTTCCTGTCTGTCCCTGTTGTTGGTCAGTTGACAGCTTTTTGTTCTAAATCATAGACTGACAGAAGAATATCTGAGATGAGAGGTGCCTTTGAGGCCATTTAAGCCTCCTTTTCAATGGAGTGAGAAGGATCCTGAGGTCCAGATAGGTGGAGGGATTTGTCTGAGGTCTCATAGCTAGTCACAGAGTAAGGACTTGTACCTTGGTCTTCTGCCCCAAGTTTGGGGCTCTTTCAACTGTACCCCTCTCCAATTCAGCAAATGTGTTTAAAAGATGATTTTTGTTTTTAAACCAGTGGTTTCCTGATTTACACCATTCCTGCCGCCACCACCGCCACCACCCCCACCATTGAATCCTTTCTTGTAAAATAGAAAAAGTTAAGCAAAAACCACCCTGACTACAGCTGACAGCGTAGACCGTACTCTGCAGCCCTAGTACCCCGCCTCTCCTTAGAGGATTGTGTTTCACCATTTGCTCTCTGGGACTGAGATTGACTGGCTTTCAGTGTTGTGTTTATTTGTGGTATGACCTGTATTGTGTGTAATAGTCTCCTTTGTCAGTAACATTTGCTAAGGGCCTACAAGGGTGCTGTGTTGGAGGGAGATATGGGAAGAAGTAAAATAGGACCGCTG